CCAACCTATTACTGTAGTTTCCCTAATCATAATAAATTGGCTCAGCCTACTGCAGATGCTTCCTCATCAGTTAGTTATACGAGTGGAGAAAATCCAAGTGCCTACCTTGGGAGAGTGAAGCCTTGCTGAAGAGAAGGGAAATTTCCTTTCTCATTTGATGCTTACTCCATTGAGGCACTTAGCCAACAAATCAATCTTTCCTCCTTTAGGGATGGACAAAATGCAGCCCAAGGACCACTTCAAGAGACCCTCCAGGACTCAAGGTTTTGACATTTAGAAAATCACCTCCAAATGCTCCTGTGTTTGAAGGAGTGTGTTCTGGAACGGGTGTTCCAGGGGCTCCAAATTTGTGTTTTGCACTGAGTGTTTGTTCATAGTCCTAAGTTGCAGGGACTTTGCAGATAGGTGGCTTCCTTTGGCAGCATTCATAGGGCAAGCCACCTGCCAATTATAGTTAGGATCCCTGGTCCCGCCCTCTTTTTGGCTTTGGAGGGAAGGGGCCATTTTTCAGTTAGGCGCAACAAAGGAAACCAAGGCAGAGGATGCGTACAGACGTTCCTCCTGTGCAAAGGCTTCGTCTTTTAAGACTTCCTGGGGAAGAACAGATTAAAGGCCTCTACAGATTCCCAAAGGGTTCCAGGGAACAGCTTCACAGCCCTGAGGACCTCCGGAGGGAATAACAGCTCTTCATCTTCAGCCAAGTGATTTCAAGTCTGGTGGTACGTCTGTTCGGTTCTGAGACGCAGTTCAGCCAGTAGCAGACTCAAATTAGTCAGGTTTAAGTTCACAACAGCCTGGGAGGAGCTTTAAAGGGGAATTTTTCTGTTAAAGTTTCTTGAAGATAGTGCCTGTTTCCTGTAAACAAGACTGCAAGAGCCAATAGACTATTTAGAAATCTTACCATTCCTGCTTGTTCATTAATAAAGACTGTTGTATTTAAGCTTAAGTCTCCTAAAGCCTGTTTAATAGGGAAAATTCCTCTAAAGGTTCTTTCTCGGGCCCCCGGGCTCCCCGCTGGACGCAAGCCTTGCATCCTCTCTTAGAAGCATTTAATTTCAGCTCCAGCGGCGACAGAACAGAGTGAAAAGGGGCTTAATCCAATACTGAACATCCTTAGGAGTTTTTTGACTGTGTGTGTCTTTCCTGTGTTTGGAATAACTGGTCTGGTCCTTTATTTTCCTGGCGCTCCCCATATAAAAGATATTTGTGATTCGTGTGTCTTGAGGAGGGTAGGCGGCTTTCTGGGCATGGCATGGACGTTTCCTGCTACCACAACACAGCATGGCTGTTATGTTATATCAATCTCCACAGATTAGAGGAACAAGACAACCATACAAGGAGATGCAGATATACACAGCAGTGATTTTTCCTTCATCCTTGGGTGTACATTTGCCAATTACACACCTTTGCTAAAAGACCAGTTTGTACTCTGCGTTTATTCCATTGGCAATGAAAGTGAGAAAGGATTTGCTCACCTCGTATTCTCAGTGCGATGGAACATCCTCTTTTCTTTCTTTTTTCTACAATGGTATAAAAATTCAATTGATGGGAAATATATTTTTTCCATGAGATGGAGGAAATCAACTAACTTTAATTACTTCTGCAGAAGTTATAATTCCATGGGAATTCTTCTCTAAATATCATTTCAGTCTGCTTTCCAGAGTGAGTGAGGCTCACTAATAATAATAGATTGCCAGTCTTGTGGATGTTTGGCAATATTTTGTGTGGCAATAGTTTGCAGTATTGTGTGTGTGTGTGTATGAATTTCATAGGGGGTTTTTTTGCAAGCAAACCTCAGAGATGGTTTTGCCAGTTCCTTCCTCTGGAATATAGAGTATTAGTGCTGGGTTTTTTTATGCAAGCAAACCTCAGAGATGGTTTTTCCAGTTCCTTCCTCTGGAATATAGGGTATTAGTGCTTGATAATTTTTGGAGGCTTCCCATTCAAGTCCTTGAGTAAGGAAAGAGAAGTGGAGTTAATTGCTGGAATATTCTTTTTCTTTTGTGACTACTTGATGTTCAAAGGAGGGCAGTGAGATAAATAGTGTTCATTAATATCTTTCTTCTATCTATACATCTTCTATACACATAATAAAAGTGAAAATATGTATGTGCGTATGTGGTTGGAGTGTCCACTTACACAGACAAGCTTCTGCTCCACAAACAGCTATAGTTATGGTGTATTATTGATCTTGTTATGGTTTTATATTCTATTTTAATGTTTTTAAACGTTTTTATGGTGTTGGACATTGAATTGTTGAATCTGTAAACCGCCATGAGTCTCCTGCAGGCTGAGAAGGGCAATATACAAATATAATAAATAAATAAATAGTTCCCATCTCTCAGGAGACACCAAAGGCCCTCCTCCAATGACATTGCAGGTTATAGTGAGCATCAGGAACATATCCAAGAGCCATGCAAGTGTCCTCCACCAACACCATACTGCCCACTACCCACGTGAAGACTTTCATACGGGGACAAGTCCTTATTTGTTTCCTCCACCACAGATATCCCAGTGTTTCTGACTCCATTGGTGTGGAATTTGCATGACCCCACCCACTGCCTCTCCCATAACCCTTTCCTATTATTTTTATTAAGCCGCTGTCTCTTGTCATGGTGGGCAATCCTGCTTTACATATCAGAGAATAATAATAATAATAATAATAATAATAATAATAATAATAATAATTGTCGAAGGCTTTCATGGCTGGAACCACTAGGTTCTTGCGGGTTTTTTCGGGCTATAGGGCCATGTTCTAGAGGCATTTCTCCTGACATTTCGCCTGCATCTATGGCAAGCATCCTCAGAGGTAGTGAGGTCTGTTGGAAATAGGACAATGGGTTTATATATCTGTGGAATGGCTGGGGTGGGGCAAAGAGCTCTTCTCTGCTAGAGGTAGGTGTGAATGTTTCAGCTGACCACCTTCATTAGCATTTGAAGGCCTGCCTGAGCCTGGGAAAACCTTTTGTTGAGAGGTGTTGAGATGTGCCTGGTTGTTTCCTCTCTGCTGTTATGCTGTTGTAATTTTAGAGTTTTTAATACTGGTAGCCAGATTTTGTTCATTTTCATGGTCTCTTCCTTTCTGTTGAAATTGTCCACATGCTTGTGGATTTCAATGACTTCTCTGTGTAGTCTGACCTGGTGGTTGTTGGTGTGGTCCAGCATTTCTGTGTTCTCAAATAATATGCTGTGTCCAGGCTGGTTCATCAGGTGCTCTGCTATGGCTGACTTCTCTGGTTGAAGGAGTCTGCAGTGCCTTTCATGTTCCTTGATTCGTGTTTGGGTGCTGCGTTTGTATTATGTGTATTATGGCAAAAATGGCTATTAGGATGAGGATGAAATGGAAGTCTGAGGTCGTCCCAGAACAGCAAACACGGAATGAAAGATTTAATATGTCAAAAGGGTTCTGGCTGCAGTGGTTTAGGAAACACTCTCACTGAAGCAATGGATATGCGGAGAAGGACTGGAGGAGAGAGAAATGCCTTAAAACAGAGCTCTCAGGGAAGCTGTTCCAGGTGGATGCATTCCAAAATAATTTGTGCCTCTGGCTGGGATCTGGCACTTCTTTAAAAACGAAGATTAAGCAGAAAGCCAGGCAACTCTTCTTCTCATTCCTTTTTTGCTGCCAGTGGAATTCTGGATTTCTGTTTCAAATCCCTTCTGATGTGAATTTAAACAAGCAAAAACAAAGTGTGGTGGCACATGGAAGGCTGAGAAAGCTAGTGTGGCATGCAGCTTCCAAGGCACACTTATTTCTTAATACTGTTTGTATGCTATTCAAAGGAAGCATGCAAATACCAGGTAGATATGATAACAGTATCAGCAGAGTGGGGAAGTCGAGGAGGTGGGGAACGCCACCCATAAAGGTTAAAGGCATTCATGGTGTAATGGTTCATCCCGAGTCGTCCTGCATTTTCCTTGTGGTTCTGCCTCTGCCCCCAATTCAAACTGGAGAAGAGTATAGTTCCCATTAATATGGATACCTTTTGTCAGGATCTTGTCCTCAGTCCTTTTTATCTTGCCATATACCCCATTTATTTATTTATACTATTATATCCCGCCTTTCTCAGCCCGAAATCGACTCAAGGCGGTTTACAATGGCAAAAAACCATTAAAAACATAAATCAAGCATCTTCTTACTAAACTCATTTTTCAGTCGCACCATCTAAGCCAATGATGGACAGTGAATTCACTATGACGACTGACCATTGTTATTATGTGATTGCATTTTGCTGTTATAACTTTTTAATTGAATATATTATATGTTTTTAATGATTGTTTTGTGATTTTATTGTTGGAAACCGGCCCGAGTCCCCCGATAGAGGGGAGAAGAGCGGTATACAAAATTGCTAAATAAATAAATAAATAAATAAATTCTGTAGTTCCATACTTACCTATTACGCTGAATTTGTGAAAGCTTGTGCATATCCAATGTGGGTTCTGTATTACACGGTACTATAATATTTATCAGCTATCAAGTTATGGTAATAATAATAATAATAATAATAATAATAATAATAATTAGAGCAAAATAATAAATGTAATAAAAATAATAGAGTAAAATGTAAATTTAATAATAATTATATTATAATATAATAATTATAATTATAATAAAAACAGTAAAATAATAAATGTAGTAGTAGTAGTAGTAGTAGTAGTAGTAATAACAATAGGAAAAACTCAGATGTTATTAGGACCTCATCATTGAACTGCAGAGGTTCTGTCATAAACCAGTACAGGTGGTCCCAGTGGTCATTGGCATACTGGGTGCGGTGCCAAAAGATCTCAGTCGCCTTTTGAAAACAATAAACATTGACATAAACATTTACCGGCTGTTAGGAATTGTGGGAGTTGAAATCCAGAACACCTGAAGGGCCAGAGTTTGCCCATGCCTGCTTTATATAACTTTTGTCAACAAGGGTTTATCTCTCCACTCCTTGTTCTTTTAATTCTTGGTAGTAACTACTCCCAAAATGTAATTTGCTCTTGTTCTTTCCTAGACATCAGACATCCAGAGGAGCTCTCCCTCTTGAGGAAGCCTAGAGACCCAACGAAGAAGAAAAAGAAAAAGCTGGACGATCAGTATGAAGACGAGACGCTGGAGCTGGAAGGGCCGCTCATCACCCCAGGATCAGGTGGAGCCCATATTGTGCTTTTAGTGGGTTAAGAGGGTGGGGTTCCGGAAGGGAAAGGCGAAAGTGACACTGAGAGAAGGGAGAGAGATCTCAAAAGTGAAACTGGAGTAGATGCTAACAGGAATGATGTCCTGTCACACCTAATCTCTTGATGGCTGCGGAGGAAATGGCATTGCTGCTGAAGCCTGCCGAATGCACCCGAGAGCCGTATAATATTTAGTAATTATAGCATTTGGCTTCTATTCCCCCGGCTTCGCAGTTAAGACCATGGCACTGTGTCAAGAGCCCCTTTGAACACTGAGCCTGATACATGTTGTCATCTGGCCTTCTACTAAGACTCTTAGAAGAATTGGTTACGACTCAGTGTGTCAAACATGGGGACACATCTGTGTGTATATTCCTCACCCACCCATCCCCATCTGTGTATCGCTTCTTTGGTTAAAAGAGTGGGTAATAACTTCTTTATGTGCAAAAATGCTAATTTTTTATCAGTTCTGAATAATGGGGCAAGTGTCTTTACAAGCATTTAAGTGGCTCATAGAAAACTTCCCTTTCTGAGTTCATCTTTCTTATTTAATTGCAAATTGCACTTTTCCCCATATATTAAAATAGCTTTGTGTTCTTTGCCTTCTTTGCATGCCTACACATATGGTTTCTGCTGTGGTTGGTTTCGAAACTAGACATTAGAGTGTATACTTCAAAATATATCAGCCATTGAGTATGAAAATGGAGCACTTCCAAGCCTTGCAGATATTTTGAGAACTATCTGGGACATATCCGCCCTGTTGTTCGGTTGTGAAGTCTACAATAGTAAAAGAAGTTATTTGTGTGTGTGATGGCCATAAGTCACCATTCTGTTGTCTAGACGCTTCAGAATTTGACAGCCTTGTCCCTCTGTTGCGTGTGTGTTTATATGTGAAGGAGACAGAAAGCACATTTCTCTGGGAAGCTCCAGCTTTCTCTTTGAAAAAATCAAGTCTTTGTTTTTGGTAAAAGACTCCTACTCTGCCTTCTCTTATTTTTTGAGCAAATGTATTTTCCCCAAGTCTCATCAGTTTGCTTTTTGTGAAATTAATGGGGTTAAACAGTGAGATTTCAGAAGAATCTTGTGTTTTTGAGGCCAGGCTATACCTCTGCCTTGTACGTAAACATTAGTCTGTCATCATGATCCATTTGCCATTGGGAAGTGGCCGTTCCCCTCATTTGCTCATTGGACACCCTGTCTCACACATGTCCAAAATATTTATTTATTTACAGCATTTATATTCCTCCCTTCTCACCCCAAAGGGGACTCAGGGCGGATGACAGAACACATACACGACAAACATTCAATGCTGTTAAACAGGACAGACAACAGATAGAGGTATTATGCTGGCACTTTGGCATCCTGGAGGTTATGCCTGGATTCCGGCCACAGGATGGTGCTGTCACTCCATCCTCTTTGATGAAAAGCCTTGATCACAGACTCCTTCCTTTTGACCACCCACATTTTCTGCTATTTCTTTTATGGTGCCAAAAAATACCTTCCCGCTTAAGCGGTGCCTAATTTCTCTACTCACAGCTCACAGCTGTTTTAGAACTGCTTAGGTAAATAGTAAGCTGGGCCGAAGGTCGGGTGCTCATCCCGACCCAGACTTTGAACTGCCAACCGTTTGATTGGTAAGATGTATTGCTACTGGTGATTAACCAGCTGTGCTAAACCCGGCCCACAAAACCCCAAATGTGCCTACTGGTCCCAAATGTGTGAAGATCAAACGTGTTATGGGTTCCCTACAAAGTCGGAGGACAGACACATCAGAAGTGGGTGATCTGAGAGGGAGAAGAAACAGGTTAAAACTAGAAGGGAATGAATTCCATCAAGAATCCCCGTAATAGCAAAAGACGCACTAATATTGGGCTTCCCAAAACTATAGGTAACAACTGGGCATTGCCACGCTAGAACATCCTATATTACATTACTATTTATATTATGTAAGTTAAACTGAATTGATTCTGATCCTGTTAAATTGCTCTGTTTTCATGATATTTCCTATACTATTATACATTTCTATCCATCTTATTGAACCACTTACCCTTTAGTCAGCTCACATATTGGCCTCCTCCCTGCCCCTCCAAAATTAGTCTGTTGTTGCTTGATGCTTGGCTATTATTGTTATGCTGTGTTACGCTGTTTTAAATTGTAATTTGTTATTGTTCTGCTTTTAATTGTATGTTGCCTGGGCTTGGCCCCATGTAAGCCGCCCCGAGTCCCCTCGGGGAGATGGAGGCAGGGTAGAAAAATAAACTTCTTCTTGGGTTCTTGTAGGTTTTTTCGGGCTATATGGCCATGTTCTAGAGACATTCTCTCCTGACATTTCACTTGCATCTATGGCAAGCATCCTCAGAGGTAGTGAGGTCTTTTCCTAGTTCCAACAGACCTCACTACCTCTGAGGATGCTTGCCATAGATGCAGGCGAAACGTCAGGAGAGAATGCCTCTAAAGCATGGCCATATAGCCCGAAAAAAACGACAACAACCCAGTGATTCCGGTCATGAAAGCCTTCGACAATACAAACTTCTTCTTGTTGTTGTTGTTGTTGTTCTTCTTCTTCTCCTTCTTCTCCTCCTTCTCCTTCTCCTCCTTCTCCTCCTTCTCCTCCTCCTCCTCCTCCTCCTCCTCCTCCTCCTCCTTCTCCTCCTCCTCCTCCTCCTCCTCCTCCTCCTCCTCCTCCTCCTTTGTTTTGGTGCAATAGTTACCTTTGGAAAAGGTACCAGGCGCAGCCAAAGTATATGCTACTCAAGACCTTGATACCATCAATGCTATTTTAAATTTGATTTGATATTATTTATTTATTCATTTATCGTGTCAGGAGCGAACCAAACTGTTGTATTGCATTCAAACAAACAAAATACAAAGTTTGCAAACTTGGCATTCTATTAAATACCCTTTGACCACTAGCTGGCCACTAGCTGGCCACTAGCTGGAATGTGTCCAGAGGAGAGCGACTAAAATGATAAAAGGTCTGGAGAACAAGCCCTATGAGGAGTGGCTTAACGAGCTGGGCATGTTTAGCCTGAAGAAGAGAAGGCTGAGAGGGGATATGATAGCCATGTATAAATATGTGAGAGGAAGCCACAGGGAGGAGGGAGCAAGCTTGTTTTCTGCTTCCCTGGAGACTAGGACGCAATGGAGCAATGGCTTCAAACTACAAGAGAGGAGATTCCATCTGAACATGAGGAAGAACTTCCTGACTGTGAGAGCCGTTCAGCAGTGGAACTCTCTGCCCCGGAGTGTGGTGGAGGCTCCTTCTTTGGAAGCTTTTAAACAGAGGCTGGATGGCCATCTGTCAGGGGTGATTTGAATGCAATATTCCTGCTTCTCGGCAGGGGGTTGGACTAGATGGCCCATGAGGTCTCTTCCAACTCTTTGATTCTATGATTCTATGATTCTATGGAGTGCCTCTGGTGTGGCTATAAGAAGGTCCACCATTGTGCATGTAGCAGGGCTCAGGTTGCATTGCAGTAGGTGGTCTCTTCTCCACACTCGTAGGTTGTGGATTCCACTTTGTGGCCCCATTTCTAAAGGTTGACTCTGCATCTCATGGTGCCGGGGCGCATGATATGATGCATTACAGAAAACCAGTGTCACACATTGTGACGTTGTTTTGGCGCAATAGTTATGCTTTATCACTTGCCAGCACAGTAGCTGTTAGGACCATGCCTATATCTAGTACAAGGAATCAGTTGGGAGTTCTTGGAAAAACTCTCAGCTTGGATCCTTCCGTCCTGCCAAAACTTCCCCTCTAATTTTAGGGGGCCTTGGCTTGAGAACGAATGGCATCTCGGCATTCCTCAGCAGCAGGAAGTACTAGATGGCGTCCAAGGCTTGGAAGTGCAGAAAGGGCATATTGGATCTGGTCTCAAAGACCCTCCTTGGAGACCTCTGTGACCAGATCATTTTACCCGTGAAAACATGCCTGGTAGTTTAATGTCTATCACGTCTTTTCCTGTCTGTCTCCTTTCTGAAAGGCCAGTCTCCTCTTTCCAAATGTCAACAAGAGGTGTCATGTACCTACCCATCTAATACATTCTGGCTCCCTATTGATGCTTGTTGTGGGTAACCAAATGTGTGAGTCTGCTGTTGTAAACCTTCTTGCCAGAGAGTTCTCACTGTCGAAATCAGTGGAAAAGATCTCAGCCATAAGCAAGTTTCAAGTGTTATTGTTTCCCAAATATTTCCCAGTGTTTTCTGAATGTACATATTTAAAGACCTGTGAGATAAGGGCCGCACATAGTTTCCTGAAAGCTTGGTCTTAAAATATGCTTTTTTCCCCCTTGCTGTTCTCAGTCTTTTATAGTGTGTATGTGCACATGCATGCCTTCATCCCTGTCAACTTATGGCAACCCCATGGGTTTTGTAGGGTTTTTAAGTCTCTTCTACTGTGTTTTTCAGTGTTTTTATGAGTGATGGTCACTTGTTGGCCTGATAGGTGTATTGTGTCCAAATTTGGTGTCAATTCGTCCAGTGGTTTTTGAGTTATGTTAATCCCACAAACGAACATTACATTTTTATTTATATACTAGCCATCTTCTGCCACGCGTTGTGTGGCCCACATGGGGGTTCTGTGTGGGAGGTTTGGCCCAATTCTATCGTTGGTGGGGTTCAGAATGCTCTGTGATTGTAGGTGAACTATAAATCCCAGCAACTACAACTCCCAAATGACAAAATCATTTTTTTTGAGTGAAGGACATACATTGGGTTGTTAGGTGTCTTGTGTCCAAATTTGGTGTCAGTTCATCCAGTGGTTTTTATGTTAATCCCACAAACGAACATTATGTTTTTATTTATATAGATTAGTGTATTTTATGTAAATTTCTGTCATAGAATCATAGAGTTGCAAAATATCATAAGGGTCATCCAGTCCGATCCCCTTCGGTCATGCAGAAGACACAATCAAAGCCCTCCCGACAGATGGCCATTCTGCCTCTGCTCAAAAACTACCCGTGAAGGAGATTGAGCT